GACAGCTCGGAGCCTGGAGCCTGTTTCGGATTCTGTGTCTCCCTCTCTCTGACCCTCCCCCGTTCATGCTCTGTCTCTCTCTGTCTCAAAAATAAATAAACAGTAAAAAATTAAAAAAAAAAAAAAGAAGATGTGGTGTATGTATGTATGTATGTACATACATACAATGGAGTATTACTCGGCAATCAAAAAGAATGAAATCTTGCCATTTGCAACTGGAGGATGGAACTGGAGGGGATTATGCTAAGTGAAATTAGTCAGAGAAAGACAAAAGTCATATGACTTCACTCATATGAGGACTTTCAGAGACAAAACAGATGAACATAAGGGAAGGGAAACAAAAATAATATAAAAACAGGGAGGGGGACAAAACAGAAGAGACTCATGAATATGGAGAACAAACTGAGGGTTGCTGGAGGGCTTGTGGGAGGGGGGATGGGTTAAATGGGTAAGGGGCATTAAGGAACCTACTCCTGAAATCATTGTTGCACTATATGCTAACTAATTTGGATGTAAAATCCAAAAAAATAAAAATAAAAAATAAAATAAAAAAAAAATGGGCATTAGATCTGAATAGACATTTTTCCAAAACAGATATACATATGGCCAACAATTATATGAAAAGGTAAACATCACTAATCATCAGAGAAATGCAAATCATAACCACAATGAGGTATCACCTCACACCTGTTAGAATAGTATCAGAAAGATAATAGATGAGTGCTGATCAGGAAGTAGAGGAAAGGGGACCCTTATGCATGGTTGGTGGGAATGTACAATGGTGCAGCCATTGTGGAAAACAGTAGGGAGGTTCCTCAAAAAAATTAAAATGGAACTACCATATGATCCAGGTCTCCCACTTCCAGATACATAGCCAAAGGAAATGAAATCCACAAAATCTTGAAAAGATATCTGAACACCCCTGTTCACGGCAGCATTATTTACAATGGCCAAGACATGGAAGCGACCTAAGTGTCCGCCTCTGGATGAATAAAGAAGATGTGATGTGACACACACACACACACACACACACACACACACACACACACACAAATGGAACATTATTCAGTGATTAGAAAGAAGGAAATCCTGCCATTTGCAACAATATGGATGGACCATGAGGGCATTATACAAAGCAAAATAAGTCAGACACAGAAACACAAATACTGTATGATCTCACTTATATGTGGAATCTAAAAAAGCCAGATTCACAAGAACAGACAGTAGATGGTAGTTGCCAGGGGCAGGGGGTGGGAGAAATGGGTGATGGTGGACAAAGGGTACAAGATAAATAAGCGACAACATAACTTTCAGCGACAAGATAAATAAGTTCCAGGGGTCCAATGCACAGCACAGTGACCCTAATTAACAATACTGTATTATATACTTGAAAGTTGCTCAGAGTGTAGATCTTAAAAATTCTCACCACATACACAAAAAAGGGAACTATGTGAGTAATGAATGTGTTAACTAATTTTACTGTGGTAATCATTTTGCAGTATATACATACATGAAGTCATGACGTGATACACTTTAAATCTATACAGTGTCATATGTCAATTATATATCAATCAAGCTAGAAAGCCATGCTTAAATTCACAATCTCCTAGGTCAAACAGTACTTTGATTTGTCCCAAAATTGCTATCTCTCAGGTGTTAAAGGTAGTCCTTTCACATTAGGACTTCGGAATCTGTGTACCTCCTATATCAGCTTTATACCAATATACCTTTCTATTTTGTTGCTGTTTCTCTTAATAATATGCAACAATTTCGCTGCCCCTTTAGACTCCAGCAAACTGCACGACTGATGTTCTGGGGAAATGCCAACAATGAGTCCAAGCCCTCTATTTTAGACAGACAACTTGAATGTTTGGTCTCTACGTTTGCAACTGGCAAAACGCAGCTGCTACTTGGCCAGCCACGTGTGCAGAATTGTAATACTGCCCCATGTTCTGGACTTGGCTGCTAGACTCCTCCCTCATCACTGGAAACTTCTGGCAAATCAACCATTTCATGATTTCACTGTGAATGCCTTCTTTCAGATTATTTATAAGCTCCTTAACAACACAGGTCCAAACTCTCATCCCTGAAGAATCTGTTCTTTATACCTCTCCATCCTGAGAAGGGCTCATCTATCCTGCCCTTTGTTTGCGATTTCTAGGCTAATTCCCTGACCACTTCTATTCCCTAACCACCTCCTCCTCCCCGGAACTGGGCTGTAGTGATTAATTTTTATTAGCCTTTAGAGTGGAAGACTATCAAAGGGCTACTGAAAAGCAAGGAGATTATACCCACCTGTGTCACTACCTGCATGCCTGTTTATTACACTGAAAAGTTCTGATACATTTCGGAAATGGGTTTTTCTTGCAGAAACCAGGTACCCATCTACTTGGGTACATAATTAAAGATTCTATAAGCTTATTCAGTCTGAAAGCAACGATCAGTAGACTCTAATTCTAGCATCCTTTCTAGATGACTTACCAGATTCATATCTGGAATCCATACAACCACAGTACAACGTGGCCATCATTTGGGGCAACATTTTCAATTTCATTTTTTAAATTATTTTCTGATTTAAATCACATGTTTACTCTACAAATTATATGCTCACTGTGAAATTTTGAAAAACACACAAAAAGTATAAAGAACAAAATGAAAATCACCTGAAATTCAACCAACCAAAGAAAATCACTGCCAACATTCTGGCATATTGCCATTTTTTTGCATAGGTTTTATATTAATATTTGGATGAGAGTACAGACATTCTTTGGTAGTCTCTCTTCACTTGAGCATTTCTCTATATCACTCAATAATTTTTAAAAAATGACACCAGCTACATAACATTCCAACATGAGAAGATTCACTGTAATTTATTTACTCGTTCTCCAACTGCAGGACATTTAGGTAGTTTTAATACTTTCACTTTTGCAGATTATATTTTGATGAAGAGTCCTGCACTACTGTAGATGAACCCTTGTCCACACATCTTCACACTGTGTCACTCTAAGGGGGACGAGATGTCAGGCAGGCCTCTACGTAATCCATCAGATGGCACCACTGGCCATGTGGCTTGGCTCCCACAAATCTCATATTCCTACCTTAGGGAACTTGCACAATGAAAGTAGCACCTCATTATGCAGCTTTGTAGTGCTCTGTGGGGAATAAGCTTAGGAATTCCCTGAGCTTGCACCTATGGGTTAACAGGGCATATAGGAACAGGAAGCCTCAGGATGAAAGCGTCCAAAATCAGGTAAATAAGATTAGGTATTCAGGGAGGAAACGCCCCCCAACTTAGTACAACAGCAGAAAGCTGCTTTCACAGCAAGGAAGGACCAAAATAGGTAAGCGGGGCTACAGACCGCAGCAGGGCTAAGTTGCCCAGAGCAGAGCTAAGTAGCAAAAGAAAGGTGCCATTAGCAAAAGAAAGGTGCCATGTTGACCCTGAGGTGGCATGCTGTGTCCCTCTTGTCCCCTAGGCTAGCTAGATAAACACACCTTGGTGCCTCATGCCCGCAGTAAACAACCATATGCCCAGCACCAGGATTTTGTTTTATATTGACCAAAACCCCTAACACTGCCTATCTTCGAAAACCCCTTTTCCCTCATACCCATGAGTTAATGTTCACGGTTTCATTGTCTCTTTGTGCATGTCCATCACACTTATAAGCCTTCTGATCCTAATAAAAACGGAGCAAAAACCCTTACTCCGGGCTCTTGTCTCCTCCCGGACATTAGCCTCTCTCGCATTTTAATCCTCCATCGGCTCTCTTGCTGGACAAGAGAGAACTTCAGACCCAGAGTCTACAATGGTGCTCTATAACTGTTTTATGTGCATAAATTAACCTCCACCAAGACCTTGAGCTCTATGAAGCCAGGGCTGCTAAATAGGGCAAGGCTTTTTACGTGTCATTTTAATTTTTTATTTTCTGCTTATTTAATATTACTCTCAATGTTTTATTAGTTTTTAAAAATTTCTCTATACTCTACTGCACCTGACAAGGAAACCACTCTGGGGAGGGGAATCAAGAACTGTGCTTATGGGCAAAACTTGCTAAGAGGGTGACAGAACAATGATGCCAGCTCAAGGCACCCCCCCCCGTCGTCCCCCACCCCAAGTCCAGATGTGCACCTTCCTCTCTGTTGCCTCCAAACCACCCACCTCTCTGCCCCTGCACTTCTGGGTCTCATCCCACTTTCCTGTCTCTGCAATGCCATGGCTCTAAATATCCCAGTTTGCTAGCTCTGTAAGTCAGCAGTCGAAAAAGAAAAAAAAAAAAATCCAAAAATAACATAATTCACATTGAGATGGGAATAAATTACAGCCCAAACCTCCGACTCTCTGTGAGCGTGTGAATTTCTTCACAGATCATTTTTCGGTTCTGTCATTCATAACCTTTCTGCTAGTTTAGAAAATGAGATGTATGGTGACAGATGGTAGGTACCTAGACTTACTGTGGCGGTCACGATGGAGTGTATGCAAATATCCAATCATTATCTTGCACCCCTGAAACTAATATAATGGTATCTTATCAATTTTGCTTCAATTAAAAAAAAAAAGTGAAGACCACTGGGTAATACGAAACAACCACGGTTGACAGGAGGCAGGAAGGATGAAGTGCCTGCAGAGAGGGCACGAAATTCTCCTCTCTCCGATGGCTTAAGGTCTCTTCCAACTGGATGATTTACAGCGAGGATGCTATTAATAATACTTCCACTGCATAAAATGGACATTTTTGGTAATTAAAAAACTACTCTGCAAATAAGGTCACCTGATGGCAGGGCAACCCAGTGACACACTTCCTTTCCTCTGCTCCCCACGGGGTCTATTTGTCTAGACGCTAGTTGAACTGAAATGCTCCCACGTTCAGCCGCTACCTGATACTGCCACCAGTCTCAATGAGAATTTTCTCACGGCACTTTCCATTTGCATGAAAACACAGCGTGTTTTTAGACGAGCGCCTCCCCCCTCCGCCCCTCCTCCCTTGGCCTTCTCAGAGTACCTGCACGATGCTGTTCCCGGCAGCGATGGTGGCCCTTCTCCACATCCGCCTCCGGGTGGACACCTCGCTGAGCAGCTGAGCCAGTTTGCGTTCCATCTCAGCCTGAAACACTTCATTCTGGAGCTGCTTCTCGACAACGCCCAGGAGAACTACATTCACAAAACAAACCACATGCAGGCGCCAAAACAAGTTAGCAGTGGAGGAAAAATGGGTGCGTGTGCAGGAGATGTTAACATAGGGTTGCTACAGAGTGCCAGTCCCTAGGGAGGACACACTAAGAGGAGAAAAAGGGAATGTGGACAGGGTCACGGGGAGCCAGGAAGGGCTGCTCAGAGGTCTCATTTACAGCTCCAAGCTCCAAGTGCTACACAAACTGGTGGCCACAAGTCCCAGGAACTCAGCAGTGGAAGAGCTTTGGAGCTAAGAACTCCCACGCAAGATCAAACATTTTATTTGCACTTATTTCAAAACTTCTGGAAATGGTCTGAGTTCATATGTTATCTTGACTCAAGACTTTGACTCGTAAACTGACCCAAGAGAGAAGGGTGCCTGCCTTAAACCATCTGCCATAAACAAGATTATCGAACAGATAACGGGCTGGTCGGCGCATTACAGGAGAAAAAGGCGTGTGCTTTTCAACCAGAACTGGCTCAAATCTGCTCTGAGACAGGACCACAGACAAGTCCCTTAAGTGCTTTGAAAATTATCTGGAGGGGCGCCTGGGTGGCTCAGTCCGTTAAATGTCTGACTTCAGCTCAGGTCATGATGTCGCAGTTCGTGGGTTCGAGCCCTGCGTTGGGCTCTGTGCCGACAGCTCAGAGCCTGGAGACTGCTTCAGACTCTATGTGTCTCTTTCTCTCTGCCCCTCCCCTGCTTGCTCTCTGTCTCTCTAAAAAACTAAAATGAAAAGGAAAGTATCTGGAAAATGGTGCCACTGTACTATCAAAGAGGTGGAGCCTTTACACGGGCTGTTGTATGTGAAGCGAGGAGGGTCTGCAGGTACCGAGAACCCATAAGTTGTGACCATGACCACTGTACATGCTTCGTCCCCCCGACCAGTTACTTACTGTGCCGCTCACATGCTGGGCGCACAGTGAGGGTGTAACTACCTCTTACACTTTGATTACCCAGTTAGAAAGCCTTTATCTGCAATGCCACAGCTATAAATATCTGACCCAGGCCCACACAACTTTTAAAAAAGCTTCTTAAAAAAAAAAAACAAACCAAAAACAAAACAAAAAAGCTTCTTACTTGCTCACCAAGCTTTCATCCTCATACAACCAAATAAATAAGGCTTTTTAGAAAAAAAGAAATCCTTGCTTTGGAACCTCATCCTGTTCTGGATCAGAAGACGGTCAATTCTTGATAGACGTTCCCCCGGACCTGACGTATGAATTTTAAAGAAAGCCAATTCTTTTTTGTGCCATAACTCAGTGGGGTGCATTCCCACAGCTGAATCCGAATTCCTTTCTCATTCATTCTTTGCCAGGAATTTAAGGTACATTATGCCCTGAATTTAGGACTCGGAAACAAGAAAGGCAGTATCGTGCTCAATACGCCCGCACAGACTTTTTTATTCTTACAGTTTCCAAAACATTATGTAAGTTAAATATACCTGTTCTCACCCAAGAGGACTTCAGCAGCTGGGATAAGTTGAGCTGTGGGTACTGGAAGGCTATAAAAAGAAGAGGAGGGAAATCTGTAAAAAGCAGGTTTGCAACCATCAGAAAGGGAAGTCTAGGGAGTACCCGGTAAGTCACAGCACACTGACTTTCCTATACTACCGAGCACAAAACATGGAAGAACAAGATGCCAGACTGGTGTGAAGGCACAGACAATATGCAGTTTCTGAGCATGAGAGTCTCCAGGAGAAAGACACAGAGAAAGAAATAGAAGGCTTGTTTGAGTGACACTGTGGACAGTGCTTCACAGAGAGAGCCCGCCCACAAGGTCCCCTTGAAATCTCATTGTTCCAGAGCAATGGTTTTTCATTGCTCATTTTCAAGGCCCTAGGCTTTCCCAGCAATGACTCAGGGTCCCTATGTCCTGGCTTGCCTGGGATAGTCCCAGGGCACCCCGGCTGTCCCACAAACTTATTATTTTATCCCTACCTGCACTGCACAGAACTGAAAGGTGCTATTTGTAAAGAACAATTCTCTCCCTGCCTGCTCTTGCATTTGATAAGTTACTCTTTCTAATTTAATTAACAGCACACTAAAACACAGAAAGGTCCTTAGACCATTTGGCTGTTCCATTTTGAAAAAGAATTTGATGTGGGGTTTTTTTTTTTTTGCCTGACTTCAACTCTGGAATCTGCTGTTTTTTTGAAGTAAACGTTTTCCCCACCCTCACCCCCACTCCATTTGTACCGTGAATCTAACTGCTTCAGCCAGGAAGAAAGGTTTTGTTTGGTGTTGTTTATTATTCCTGGGTTTTTTTTTTTTTTTTCAGTTTTACATGTACATGCAGTAAATTTTACTCTTTTTTAGGATACAGTTTTATGGCTTTGGACAAATGCACAAACTTGCATAACCACCGCCACCATAAAGAACAGAACAGGCACATCAGCCCCCCCCAAAATTGCCTTCTGCTACTCTTTTGCTGTCTAGCTTCCCTCCCACCCATCACCCCTGGCAACCACAGGTCTGCTCTCTGTGCCTCTGGGCTTCACCTTTTCCAGAACTGTCTTCATCTTTAACAGCCCAGGTTACTCTCAAAAGACAATACTACACCCAGGCCTGGGGGTGAGGAGGGCTCTGGGGACCCTGCCTTGACTCTGAGAAGCTCCAATTTTAGCTGATTTATAGTCTGGATTTCAGCCAAATATTTCAAGTGAAAAGAAGAGGTTCAGCAACGAAAATATCCGTGGTCACTTCCCCAGGGATTCAGGCAACAGCAGTACTCACGTTCAGCAATCTGGAGCACTGGGTATCCCAGGTAGAAACTGAACTCCACCACGCTCAAGTTCCTGAGCAGCTGGCTCACTTCCGTCCCGTTCAAAAACCCCTGTGCGCCTCTGACCGCAAAGACGATATTCACCGGGCCCCGCCGAGGAACCGGCCTGGAAGCACCCATGGTGACATTCAAGATCTGAAAGAAGGAAGGTGGGATGAGCTTCCAAAAGGAAGCAAAACATTCGGCTAAAAGCCTGTGATTTCTCCCTCACCATTTCTCTCGTTGATTTTTTTTTTTTTTTTTTTGAAGGAGGTAACGTTTTCAAAGGAACGAACTGGCTTCGCCACCTGGTTCCCGTCTGCGATACTTAAAATTCTGTTTACTGAAAATGTTTTTTACATTGGGTGGTGCACTGAACACAAGTATTTATAGTCCCTCCCGCTCCCTCCCACCCCAAATCCCCACTGAAATAACAATAGAGCTGAACAAAGGGGAGTAAACCCACAACAGGGCTGAGAATGGAAGAAAATCAGAGATTCTGTCAAATTCCTGGAAGATGGAGAGAGGGTGGGATCATCATGATAGAAGCCAGAACTGAGGGAACTGAGACCCAAACCCCACACAGGCCTGGAGCCCAGGAGCCAAGAGCTGGCTGCCCCAGGAGAGCTCTGCAGGAACGGTCACCAGAGGAGACAATCAGGACAATTAATCAAAGCCCGTGTGCCAAGAAGTCGAGTTGACTTTCTCCCTCTTCTTTCCTTTCTAACTGCCACACACAGGCCAACACACAGGAGCTGGCGGCAGCCACATCTTCACCCTGACCGGCCCAAAAAACCGCTCCCTGGGCAGAAAGGATCTTCCCGTCAGAGCAAGCTTAAAGACTGTGGGTTTGGACCCTAACAAGAAGGTGGGGCGAGACTGCGATAACCCCAATGCACACAAGAGACAGAGAAGGAAACAAAAGGAAAAAAGCAGCAGAGCTGCGGTGAAAATTACACCGAAGCGCTCCATCCCCAGGAACCCTTATCCTACAGGGAGGCGGGGGTCCCAGTCTGTCCCACCACCTGCAGTGGCATACTCTGCCCGACCCAGTGCTCCAGCGAATTCTCCCAGCGGGAGACAGGGCGGATACAGACACAGACACCACAGCTGAAGGGGAGAGCAGCCAAAATCAACAACCTGCTTCTTCACTCCTAACGGCGACCAACCCACGGTCTCCAAATATTTACAGTAAACTAGGAGCATGAACGCGAAGGAACAAGATCAACACAGAACAACAGCTGCAGAGAAAACAGAGACAACTTGGGAACCAGAAGGCAACTTCTAGCAAATTCTCAGTAATCTCCTCAGAGACTTTTCCAGGCGATAGCGCATCTTCACTCAAGGTAATCCTGCATCTTTGCAGGAGAAGCCACAAAGAAAAAGGAGCAAAGAACAACAACAACAACAAAGGATAGCTGAAAGAAAATTCAGCAGAGGGACTGAAAAACATGATGGATGCAGCTGAAGATGAAATTAATGACTTCAGGGGACAAAGTTTAGAAGATCTGTAAAAATAGGGAATTTTCAAAAGAGATGGACCATATAAGAAAAAATAAGAAATATGAAAGGTGGATCCAGGTACACCAAAATCTATTTAATATAAATTGTAGAGGGGACCTGGGTGGCTCAGTTGGTTAAGCGTCCAACTTTGGCTCAGGTCATGATCTCACAATTCGTGAGTTCAAGCCCTGCATCAGGCTCTGCACTGACAGTGTGGAGCCTACTTGAGATTCCCTCTCTCTTTCAATCTCTCTCTCTCTCTCTCTCTCACACACATTCTCTCTCTCAAAATAAATAAATAACCTGTAAAAAATGTGTGAGTCATAGAAAAAGAGAAAAAAGAATGTGGAGAAAAATATCAAAGAAATACAAAAACATTAGCAGTTTCCATACAATACATACAAAGCCTGTTTTGTTGTTGTTTTTTTTTTAAACATTTATTTATTTTTGAGAGAGAGAGAGAGAGAGAGAGAGAGAGAGAGTGTGTGAGCTGGTGAGGGGCAGAGAAAGAGGGAGACACAGAATCCAAAGCAGGCTCCAGGCTCTGAGCTGTTAGCACAGAGCCCAGTGCACGGCTCAAACTCAAGGACCATGAGATCATGACCTGAGCCAATGCAGGCTGCTTAACTGACTGAGCCACCCAAGCGTCCCCAAAGCCTGTTCTTTAATTTGTGGCTATATTCTCTGTTTTTAGAGTGAAGTGCTACATTTCATGGTATTCCACAACGTGAAACACTAGTGTATTTAGGCATTTAGGTTGATACCATTCCTTCTTAGAACATTCTAGAATTTCTGGCATATGCTCATCTCTCTCTAGCTTGCCACATTTGAGCTCCCTAGTTATCTTGTTACTCTACAATCTTCAAATATGCCTAGCCTACTCACGCCATGTGAACTCAGGGCCCTGGAAAGAGATCAACCTTGATTCATGTGAACAGAACCTCTTCTAAAAGAGGAAATGAGGAAGAGTGCATTATGGCCTAAACGAAACATGTGAAGCTAGTTCGTCTTCCAAAGACAAAGCACCTTGTTCTGCATCCCGCGCTATTCTCACCTGCACAGTGAGGTTATGCGTCCCCTGGTGGTGTTTGCTCACTTCTGAAAGAGCTATCATCAGGCCTTTCTCGATGCGCTGGGTGAAGCTGCACAAGCCAGTATCCACACTCTGAGGCACAAACTGAAGTACTGAGAGAAGGAAAGCAATCACAGGCCCACGAACCAGGCGTTGCTTTAGTATTGACGAATGAGGACGGGAAAATACTATCTAGCTCAACTAACACATCCACAGCACGCGATGAAGTACTAAGAGGTATCACTGATGGGTATGGTAGCACGGAAACCTAAGAGGGCTGCCTCTGCACCAAGCATATATATATATACGATGTGAAGGTGGCTCGTATCATTTTAAAATGGAAAAACAGGGGCGCCTGGGTGGCTCAGTCGGTTGAGCATCCAACTTCGGCTCAGGTCATGATCTCACGGTCCGTGAGTTCGAGCCCTGCGTCAGGCTCTGGGCTGACAGCTCAGAGCCTAGAGCCTGTTTCAGATTCTGTGTCTCCCTCTCTCTCTGACCCTCCCCCGTTCATGCTCTGTCTCTCTCTGTCTCAAAAATGAATAAAACATTAAAAAAAATTTTTTTAATGGAAAAACAATCAGCATCAAAAGATTCAACTGACCGAAACATTCCAAATATGAAATGTGAAATCTTACATAGTTACAGGTGAAATGACAGGATATATGGTATTACTTTAAAACACTCAATTCCTCCAAAAAAACACTGTGGGGATAGATGAAACAAAACTGGGAACACATCAATAATTTTTCAAGCGAGGATGTGTGTGGAGTGTATTAACAGTCCTCATCTCTTAGGGCGCCTGGATGGCTCAGTCGGTAGAGCACACAACTCTTGACCTCAGGGTTGTGAGTTCAAGCCCCACACTGGGCATGGAGCTTATGTAAAAATATAATGACTTTTATTTTTTTTTAATTTTTTAATGTTTATTTTTGAAAGAGAGAGAGAGACAAAGCGTGAGTGGGAGAGGAGCAGAGACAGAGGGAGACACAGAATCCGAAGCAGGCTCCAGGCTCTGAGCTGTCAGTACAGAGCCCGACGCAGGGCTTGAACCCATGAACCACGAGATCATGACCTGAGGCGAAGTCAGATGCTTAACTGACTGAGTGACCCAGGCGCCCCATGAATTTTTTTTTTAAAGGTCTTCGTCTCTTAGAAGCATGGGCTGAAATATTTATGAGGGAGATGACATGGTGCCATTTCAAAATAATGTGAGAGGAGGGCACATAGATGTAACAAGACTGACTTAGGAGTTGAAATTTGCTGAAGCCATATGAGGAATACATGGGGGGCTCATTCAACTATTCTGTGTATTTTCACATCTGCTGGAAATTTTCCATAATTACAACGTGGTTTTTTTATTTTATTTTTTTTTAATATGAAATTTATTGTCAAATTGGTTTCCATACAACACCCAGTGCTCACCCCAACAGGTGCCCTCCTCAATGCCCATCACCCACTTCCCCCTCCCTCCCACCCCCATAATTTTAAAGAAATTTTTTTTAAGTCTTCCCCCAATATTTTAAAAACATAAAAAATACAGTGACATTTTATTGACAAATCAAAACAACTATGCTCAGTTTTCTCACCCGTGTGCACTTGGAACCTGGACTCTGGCACAAGGAAGGAAGGTTTCACAGCCAAGATTAAAGGAGTTTGGTCACGTACAAGTTTACTGTTTATAAGTACATTTATGACTGATATCGCCGTGTAAACAAAAGGCCCAGATGTTACCAGGAAAGTGAAGTCAGCGAACAGTTCATAAACCTATGAAAATTTAAAAATACAAAAGACAATAATTATCAAATTTGAGAGTACTGTAACTCAAAATTAAAGGAAGTTGTACAAAGTAGAAAAATAACAAAGTAAGGTGAAAAGTAAATGGGGAGCTTTAAATGAAGGGGGAGGTCTGCAAAGATCATCAAAATTTTATTTTAGTTTTCCCTTTTACAGACCCGCCGACCTTCTCAAAAATAGCATAAAATTATAAAAGCAAAGACAGCAAAAAAGAAGAGCAGCCAATAATATGAACTGAATAATGAGTTATGGAGAATTCCAGGTTGTATTTTACAAGGTTAACTTCAAAGTTGTCGCATTTAATCCACATATGAAGGAGCCCTTATTCTGTTGATCAGTGCTAGCCAAAAAACATTCATGAGCCACAAACGCAACTTTGAAATTTCTAGTAGCCACATTAAACAACATAAAAAGAACAGGTGAAATGAATTTTACTTCACCCAATATATCTGAAATGACATTTCAACATGTGGTCAACCTAAAAAACCACTGGTGAGATAGTTTACGTTTCTTTCTTCACTCATCTTTGAAATCCTGTGTAAATTTTGGACTGACAGCGCATCTCGATTCAGACAAGCCCAAACGTCACGTGCTCGGGAACCACGTGTGGCTCGTGGCTCTGTTCAGGATGGTGCAGGTCTACAGCGTGGCTCTCTGACCTCACCACAGGACAGGAGGTATGAGCACAGGGGCCACTGTAAAACGTACGGAAATCTACCTCTATCTCACTGAGTGTACAGATATATGCATATGCACTCATTCTAACATCTAATTCAAATTCTAATCCAAGTCCTTTTATGTAAATCGAGGGGCGCAAAAGCATCACATCATCATCCCCATCTCTGGTCTTAGAGACTTTTTCCTCCAATTCTGCCAACACATCTCTCCAGTGGACTACACCTGGCCTCACGTGAGATCAGGGCTTCCCCGATAAAGTGACATTTGAATGGCTATCCAAAGCAGGAGCAGGTGTTCACCAACAGGAGGAGGGGGGGAGAGGAAAGCGCGTGCTAGGACGGAGAGGTGCCGTTAACCTGGGCTCCAGGGCCACAGGGACCCACCTTGAGCTCCACAGCACGGTTGAAGTGGATCCTCAACACCTCTTTGATGGACGTAATGATGTACTCCTGCACGGCTCTCCGGGCCAGCACTGCAAGGCAAAGCCGACCACCAAATGCACATCAGTTTCATTATGAATACTGTGGGCATCACACTTCTGGTCCCCAAGGCGGAGCCCATGCTGTGCCAAACTGCGACAGCAGGGCCCAGAACCATTTTTTAAAATAAGGCCCAGACTAGGAAGAACAGAGGAACAGCAGCGGATCTTGAGGCTACCAGGTAAACCGTGCTCACCACACTAAGAAAACCCTCGAGTGTCTCTGCCCCAGGGGCTGAGACCAGGGATCAGTGGCTGGGGCCCCACCAGGGAACAAAGAACACAGAGTTCTCATTGTCAACTGGGCAAATAGTAGGTTTTTCTCTTGGCTATGTCCCTAATGGTAAAACACCAAGTTTTAAAAACGCTCAGCAGGAATATTTTAGAAGGCCTTAAGATGTTACTCAACAAAACTAGATGACTTCTCCCACTATAAAATGAGGTCTCCTACCCCAGCTTTTCAACACGGGAAGTGAAGGGGTTTCACTAGTAATGGGGGAAAAGATGTTCACAATTCCCATGTATTAAAATTTCATGTAGGAAGTAAAATATTTCTTATAACACAGTCTAGCTATATTTAACTCTCCTTTCACATCTAAGAAATTCTATTTTAAAATCTGTAATAAGTAAGCCTCTTTCTCGGGGTTTGGAAACATGTCCTGCTCCCCCTTCTCTTCCCCATTTTTTCTTTCCTCTTCCATTAACTTCTCATAATGCGGAATCTAAATACATTTGAAATTATGATTCAGTTTCCCTCTTCCCTAGTCTAAGTTTTTAAAACTAGAGACAGAATCATGCTGTATCTTTCATTCTTTGAAAAAACCCAAACGTTTAAGTTACATTTGATTGTTTTCTCTACTGATCAGTAACTTTTGATAGGAAAAAATGAGAGTTCATGAGACCAGGAGAACAAATCCAGACACCCTGACTGCCTTGCTGAGTGACACCAATGGCCAGCTTGGCCTGGTCTGCATGGGCTCCAGGAGAACTAGACTGCAACACTGATTTTAAAGAGAAAGACAAAAATGAGTAGGAAGGAAAAAAGCAAATGAAAGGAAGAAGGAAGGGAGGGATGGAGGCACAGAGGAATGGAGAGAGGGAAAGAGGGAGGAAAGATCTCAAAAGCTGAACTTGGGGAATGTAGAGACAGAATGGAAAATCAGTGACAGATAAACCCAAAACAGGACACAAGGAAGCACACATCGTACATAGCCCCATCTAAAGGTATCACTCGGTGGGACACCTGGGTGGCTCCGTCAGTTAAGCAGTCGACTTCAGCTCAGGTCATGGTCTCACAGTCTGTGAGTCCGAGCCCCGCGTCGGGCTCTGTGCTGACAGCTCAGAGACTGGAGCCTGCCTTGGATTCTGTGTCTCCCTCTCTCTCTGCCCCTCCCCTGCTCATGCTCTGTCTCTCTCTGTCTCAAAAATAAATAAAAACATTAAACAAAATTTTTTTTTTAAATAAATAAAGGTATCACTCGGGAGAACCATCCAAATATTACTCTGAATAGTCCACACGGCCCACCACGATCAACTCCACCTTCTCTGGTTAATCTGGGTAAGACCTAAAACTGTAACATCAGGTTATACGTGCAGGAGTCTTTGGGGGGAAAGGATCGTCGGCAACATATATCTCACAGTTTCTCCAAAGATCTAATTTAGGCCAAGAGAGGCAAAAGGGGCGGCCAGGGTCTGTCAGGTCCTGAGTGGGAAGCATAGCCTCACCCCTTAAAAGATACATGCCGTCGGGGGCACCTGAGTGGCACAGTCGGTTAAGTATCGGGCTCTTGGTTTCAGCTCAGGTCATGATCTCCCAGTTCCTGAGCTCAAGCCCCTCATCCGGCTCTGTACTGACAACGCAGAGCCTGCTTGGGATTCTCTCTCTCCACCTGTCTGCCCCTCCCCTGCTCTCTCTCTTTCAAAATAAGTAAACTCAAAAAAATAAAAAAATAAAAAAGAAGAAGATATATCCAGTCAAGTGCTCTCCCAAGAGTCCACTAAGGATCAACAGAGTGTTCTTACTTTTACTACAGAACTCCATAAAAAGAACCCTTTCAGAGGACAAGTACTCACCCCAACCCTCTCTCTCTTCTAAGCAATTACCTAAAAGAAACCAAGGCCAAATCTAAATGAGGATTCTACACGAAGTGATCCTTCTTATGGGTCAAAGATAGCATTTGTTTCCATTTAAAAATACAACGCAGGGGCGCCTGGGTGGCTCAGTCGATTGAGTGTCTGACTTTGGCTCAGGTCATGAGCTCATAACTGGAGTTCGAGCCCCTCCAGTTTAAGCCCCGCCTCTGGTTCTGTGATGACAGCCCAGAGCTTGGAGCCTGCTTCCGATTCTGTGTCTCCTTCTCTCTCTGCCCCTCCCCCACTCGTGCTCTGTCTCTTAAAAATAAACAAACATTAAAAAAAAATTAATACAACGTAGCAAAAAAACCATAATGCAACAGCCTGGGTACCTATGCACAACTCTACACATTTACTAAAACTGCTGATGTGTACATTTACAGTGGGTCAAGTTTACCCCAAAGGCTATTAAAAAATACCCAATCCCTAACAAAGGATGCCAAATCCATTAACTGTATGTCCTATATGAAAGTTAATCCATTCTATATACGATATCCTTAAGAGATACTTCTAAAATGGTTTCTCATTATTTGTAGAAAAATTTGAGGGTCGCCTGGGTGGCTCAGTCAGTTAAGTGTCCGACTTCGGTTCAGGTCGCGATCTCACAGTTTATGAGTTCGAGCCCTGTGCCGGACTCTGCTGACAGCTCGGAGCCTGGAACCTGCTTCGGATTGTACGTCTCCCTCTCTCTCTCTCTCCCCCTCCTCCCCTCACGTTGTCTCTCAAAAAATAAACATTGAAAACAATTTTTTTTTTTAATTTGAAAGGACACACTGCAACTCTAAGTATCAATAAATGTCATGGAATTCAAGAAATAAAGAAGCTTTCAGTAGCTCTTTCAATGAGCTTCTTGTAGTGGACCATATGAAATAGTTTTGTAGAAAGGCAGAAAAAGTATCATGTGTATAAGAAACTCTTCTCTCTCATCGGGACTACTGTTATCCCCTAGATGAACGTTTATCACTGGCCCCAACCTCATTTCCTAGCATAATTACTGCACAGCCTAATTACCAGCCAAGCTGAACCTCCTTGGGCTGTCTGACCTCTCCACCTGTGCTCACACCCTCCACCATGAGGACACTTTCTTCCATCTCCAGACGACAGCCTTCTTGAGTATGTCAGTCCAATTCACATCCTTCCAAACCCATCCCTCATCATCCCAAGGCCACTCTTCTAGAACTCTTCTTGAACAGCTTCAACCATTCTTATCACAGCCACCAAGAAAACACGGCTCATGTCCACCCTGCTAGAATCTAAGCTCCTTGAAGGTCAGAACCACATCATTCATCTAGATAACCCTTAAACCTTCTAAAGACACCTCACGCATGCTGAGTGCTCAATAATTATTTGTCACATGAATTCACAAATACTTCCTTGTTTGGGAGAGGGAGGGAGTTAGGAGAGCACAGGCTTCAGCTGCTCCCACCATCTCAGAGGATGGGGTCTCCGCCATGATGAGCAGAGGATACATGGTTCACCTCACTGACATGATCTCTCCTCCTTCCTCACCCCACCTTTCCCTGTTCTCTCCGAGTTCGTGCGACTACAACAGTGGGGCAGATGCAGGGGAAGCATCTGCTTGAAGCTAATCACTCAGGCTGTGGACAAGGGGCAGAGATAAAAGTCTGTGGACCGAGATCAGAGGACACGGAGCTGCTCTCTGTTTCATTCTTGGGTTCTCAGGATCCAAACGACATTTCCAGGAACATGTAAGAGCACAGCGGCCCCCTTAAGGAAAAGAATAATAAATTAGGAAGAAATTACAGCGGCTGCCCTTACACATTTGCCCAACTAACTGCTCGAACCACACCTGAAGGTTTTTGTTTTCACGACACCAACTACGCGTGCACTGGGTTACGAGTTCCAAAGACAAAGATCCTAGCAGATGTTTCTACGGTCATTTAAATCTTTTATTTTTCTCACTGCTACTATTAACGAACATGTAGTACTCTGTGGGTGTTTCTTACGTGCCAAACACTAGGTTAAGTATTTTATATGCAGTGATGCATTTAAATCTTTAATAACCCAATGCAGTACGTGCCATGATCGTCCTCGTTTAATAGTGGAGGAAACCAAGGTGTAGAGAGACTCGTTAAGTGTCCAGAGAACTCACAGGAGAAAGGCGAAGGAGTGAGGGCTACTGCCCAAGAGCTCTCCGGGCCCGAAGCCCGTGCTCTTTCCCAGGATGCCGTGTCTTGGAACATTCCATCCAAGCACCGAAGAGAGATCGCCCTGACCAAGAGAAGTGACTGGAAACAGGGCCTTACCGGTTGTGATCAGATAGGCATCGGGAACCGTAATATCACACACATACGGCGGCTTGGTGGTGACCAGTGCTGGACTATGAACTGCTGCTTCAGAAGTGGAGGTGGGCACGGGATGAAGGGATGGTGGGGGGTGCACAGAGCTGCTCTCGTGGGGATTCCGACTGGTGGTTCTGCTGCTCAGGGTGCTGCCATCCACAGTATCCCCAGGGGCAGCACCAGCAGTGGGGGTGCTCGGATCAGTGGAGGCGAGCACTGGCAAGTCTGTGGGTGTGAACGACGGGCCCACGGGGACTGGCTCTGTTGGAAGAGGTGAGGGGCTTGCCTCAGAAACAAACGAGGAGGCTGATGACGGGTACACATCGGTGACTGGGAGCGTAGTGCCGGGAATGACTTTGGAGAAAGAGGAGAAGACCGACGTGTGACCGTCCGAAGCGCTGACACTGTCGCTGGAAGGTAGCGGGGTTGGAAAGAGGGAAGACTCCACGACAACGGGGGTTGTACGAAAAGCAGTCAGAGGTGATGCGGAGTGAGTCCCAATGGTCAAAATGTCGAGGGTGGGCTCAGAACTGGAGGGCGCCAGGGTGGTGACCGCCGATTCATGGGCAATGAGTGACCACTCAAGATAGGAGGTAGTTTCAGTGAGGGCTGAGGTAAAATGAGCTTCGGGACCGGTCAGCGAAACCGTGGACGCCTCAGAGACCTTGAGAGAACCCGAAGGGAAGCTGGAGAGTAGGGGCATTTCAGAGTAACTAGGAAGAAAAGTGAATGTATTTGAAAGAAGGTCTGAACTTGGCCAGAGCTGCGAAAATTCAGAGCTCGTGGGATTAGGAACGGAAAGCGGAGGGGCCTCCAAATCGACAGAGTCGGACAACGGGAGTGTCTCAACCAAGGAAGAAAACGCCTGAGAAATGAAGGCCGACGCATCACTCGATGTCCCTGAAGACGGAGAGGCAAGTGTTTCTGAAGATGGAGACACCCAACTGCTGGGTTCCAGGGGTGGAGTTGAGAAAAAACTGGATGCGGAATCCAGACCGAGCCCGGTGACATGTTGGGAAGAGCTGCCGGGCTCCCAGTCGAGGGAGAGTGAAGGCTCTACTGACGATCCCCCAGTAGAAGCCATAAAAGGACCTTGGTCTCTGCTAGCGGGCGACGGCGTGTTCCGGTTTGCTGTGCCCGAGTCAGGGAGCACGCTGCCGAGGAGCGAGGGAAACACGGCTGTCACGCCGGACGGTGTTCCTGGGCTTTCGGGGACAGAGGAGGAGCCCAGAGTGGCAGTATCCGGTGACACTGGCACAGAGAGGCGGCCGCGTGAAGGATCCTCTTGAGTGGTCCCAACGCTCCCCGTACCCACATCGTCGGCCGAAAGACCGACGCTGGCTCCTGAGATGCCCGCGGATGGAGAAGAAAGCGGAATAACCGGTCGGGAGGGGAAAAGTGTATTAAATTCCTGGGGATCGTCTTCAAATTCAGGGAAGTCCGCTACTCTGCTGCTCGGCGGAGAGAGGCTGCTCACTCCCAGCGTGGTCACCGTCAGGGCACCATCCCCTGATCCGACGTCTTTCTCCACCACGCTCGCTGACGCAACGTGCCGAGGCGACGCCACGGCGCAGGACACGCACCACGTGTACGGCCTGAACGGAGCCGCCGGGCTCGGGACGTGAGTGTCGTCCACGGGCCTCGGGACCCCTGACTCGCCAGGCAACTCTGACGCTTCCCTGGCGCTGCCGGGAAGAAAGGGGTTATAAGAAACATCCGCTGGCCGAGTAGAAAAGGACACAAGCGCGAGAGATGAGAACAAAGCCGACTTTGTACGGCCGCGGCCACAGGCAAGGGCTGTCTGTGCCAGACTTGCAGCGGGGTCTGTTCTTGGGAAGATGGTTTCTTCTAGACTGCGACTCAGAGCCGTAGGCATGTCGGAGTATCTGTCCGTGCCTGTGGCCAGAACATCCTCCGGAGGTGGGGAGACCTCGTCCCAGGAGGGAAAAGCCTGTGGAGGGATGCCACTGCCTGACAGCGGAGGCTGTGCGGCCAGAGAGCCAGAAAGAAGGGTTTCTCCATCCTCTGTTCCTGAAGCCGCGATCTCCGGCAAAGTCCTGCTTGCCGAGTGCCCGTAAGTGTCAGTAGGATAAAGCACCAAATTCCTACTGGGACGCGGCAGTATGCCCTCAGAAGTGGAAAAGGCTGACCAAAAAGCACTGAAATGACTGGCGGACTCGGCATACGTTGTTGGCTGTGGCACTGTGTTTTGCCAGGCTGACGTCATTTGCTCATCCTGGAAAGAAATAATGGGCAAAGAGGGAGTCAGCACTGGCGGGCTGACTGGGAGATGCTGTAGCGGAGAAACCACGCGCGAAGTGGCCCAGGGAGTTTCCGGCAAAAAGTTATCCATTTCATCATCATCTCTGACCACCTCACTGCTCGTCATCGACACATAATTGGCCACAAGGATGCTGTGATCTGCCATACTTTGGGTCAGTGTTCCTGGGTTTAAAAAGACTGTATCAAAAATAGTGGCAGATGGAGATGATGTGACCTGGAGAGAAGGGCTTTGCTGGGACCCTGGAGCAGTTTCTGTTAAGGCCACATGTGCAGTGCTGTGCACGGTGCTTTTCTTCATCGTGAGCTTCACGGAGGATAAAGAGAGGTTGTGCTGTTCCAGAAAGAGCTCATCTACAGAGAGAATAAAAGCTGGGTTAGTTGCAATCAAAGCCATACTGCTAACGCTTTGTTTCAGATGTAAGAATTTATTCATTGAACAAATATCCACTTGACTATGAATATGTACAATTCACAGTTGGAAGTGAAACAGCTAACTGGGAGCCAGAAATTGCCAGAACAACCGTCAGGGTAATATCCACAAATATTCATCAATGTGAGCACCACCTTCACTTCAGCTTGTGTGGAAGCAGATCCTGCCATTTTTTCTCTTACTTTCAAACGACACCACAGAATACCGGAAATGGAGGAGGTCTTAGGAGGCTGTGTGGTCCATTCTGTCTCATTTATCACACAAGAAAGAGAGATGAGAGAAAGTAACTAAATCAATTACATAATCACCCAGACAGAGGTGGAGTGAGAACCTCAAGAGAAGCCTGCCTTGAATTCCAAGCCCACATTCCTTCTCTTCCACAAGAGCCGGCTCTCAAGAGAAATGAACACAAGAACCCTGAAAGCATCACTCTCTACACAGGTAAGAGAGTTCAAAAGATCCTAGTTTAGGGCCACCCACACCAAGGCCCCAGACTCCCTCCAGGCTTGGCTCCCATCATTCCCTGTTCCACTCTTACACCTTCCTGACTACGCTCTGGCCCATCCAAACTCCCTCTGGCTTAGGGATTCTGCACATTCTTGTCCCTCTGCCTGGGATGCCCTTCCCCGGCTCTCCACCGGGATTATTCCTACTGGCCCTGCAGATGCAACACAGATACTGCCTCCTTCTTCAATGCTCTAAAGTGGAGTGAGTGCCTCTCCCAAGGCTTCTTACCTGTCATATCCCTTAGCAGGCCTCACTTAAATTAACTGTCTGCTCATTACACTGCAAGCTTCCTGAAGACAAGGACAGTTGATATGCCTTCCCAGTGCCTAGCACAGTGACTGACATATAGTCAGAGCTCAATACATGTCTGCTAAATGAATGAATGCATAAATGAATGAATGAATGAATGAATGAATGGTGTCTGAGAACCAAGTTCTGTTATGTGCCCACAACATCCTATCTTCCTCTCAAAACTTTCGTATTCTTTACCCTTGTGACAGCTGTCTTGATCATGGACGTGGCTGAGGTGTCCCACCTATAATTCAGATACAGAGAGGCAGGATATATACTGGCCCAGGCCCCTAATGAAGGCCCAGAGCACATGGTATGTCCACTGAAACACAGGCTGAGGACTGAGCAGCTATCATGACCCATAACAAGACCCTCCTCTTGCTTGTCCAGTCTATCAGAACGTGAGTGTGTGAATCGTTTAGAGACAATCTTGAACTTGACCTTTTTACTTTATTTCTTGAAGTAAATTGTTTCTGTTCTATTCCTGGCACTAGGGCAGACTGGAGATCTCGATGTCTTCTCACATCATAACGCTGAATTATGCTTACTAAATGTTCGAAAACATCTTTTTACGTGACTAGATGAGCCTGCAAGGCGATAAGGGACGTGTGCCATACACAGGAACAAAGGAAGAGTTGGAGTAGTCATCAAGCACTGCAGTCACTGGAGAGAGGGACCTGGACCAGAGAGCCTCAGATAGAGGGACACTTAGAACACGGGGGAATAAGGGACGAGTGTTGGGTCTGAACAGGTGAAGAACACAAATGAAGACCATCTCCAAAAAGGTGAGACCTGAGAAGGACCATACTCTCCGGGCAAGAGTGAATTAGGAAGAAAAACAGCCACCTCTCTGAGAACAGTAAGAAAAAATATCTGTCTCAACCTTGACTTTATGTATTTTATAAAATGTCCTCCCAACTTTGGAATCTTTATTACTTGCGTGGTCCTAAAAATTGTATGTTTAGAATCATGACTCTCCAACGCCTATCAGAGGTTAACATAAATCATCTCTAGAAGAACACTCACAGAGCAGGCATCAAAGTATTCGTGCAGCTAGAGTTCCAATAAATATGAGTGCTACATTTAAAATTACAAAACATGTATAGAAATAAGGTACTATGAAAAAAGGTCAAGAGAAGCCCACAGAAATAGTGTTGGAGCTGTAAAGACTTTAGATACTGGAATGTGGGATACGTTTTTTAAAGTATGTTTAATCCACTTAATAAAGAGGAGACTGAAAACATGAGTAAGGAGCAAGAGACTGTAAAAATGGCCAGAAAGATTTGAAAAATAATTAAAAGAATACTTAGAAATGAAAAAACAGAGAGACACCGGCTGACTGAGTCAGAGGAGCATGCAACGCCTGATCTCAGGGTCAAGGGTTCAAGCCCCACACTGGGTATAGAGATTACTTAAACAAATTTAAAAATTTTAATAGTTGGGGCGCCTGGGTGGCGCAGTCGGTTAAGCGTCCGA